CCCATTAGACAGAAGGTTGGCTGGGCCCAAGAGCCGGCCTGGACGATATGGAGAAGTGAAAAAAAAATCTTGCTCTACTGGGACTCGAACCGGGGTCTTCCAACACTTAACTCGTCGCTATACCGACTGAGTTATCCCGACACCTTAACTAACGGCAGTTTTATTATGATTATTATTATGGTCCACTGGAGCATTCCCAGCAAAGGGCAAAGCGAAACCGTATGACCGGAGCGAGAACTGACAGGACCGGAAATGACGAAATGGAAACAGAAACACTCAACAAGATAAACTGAGCCGTTCCTATACTTCAGCTTCTCATAGAGAGATCTGGGTTTGATTCCGGATAACTTCGTGTGAGCTTCTTACCGGGCGGAATGGCAGTGAGTGGAGCCTGTTTTCAAGAGTTCTGTCGGTTTCTCCCTGTTAATCATCACTACATCATCTGTCACCGCCTCGAGAGAGCTGCGATAACCCTGACAGGCAGCACATTATCATATCCTCGGTCTTTTCAGTGTGTGGTCTCGTCTGTGATCCGGCATTTGCCTGCCCACAGCGTGAGAAAGTCAAAATTGGGGAACTGACGGATGGAGGTTGGAACATTCGCAAAGAATGAAACATCAAAGTAAACTTTCCGTTATGCACCAAAAAGAACATGAGATACCGCTCATCCAGGCCCAGCTCAAGCGGCGGCCCGGTTTCGATCCCGGGGTCTGGTCAAGTGGGATTTGTGGTGGACAAAGTGGCGCTGGGGCAGCTTTTCTCCGAGTACTTCGGTTTCCCCTGCCAATTTTCATTCCACCAATTGCTCCACAATCACCCTCACCTATCATCTGGGGCTGGTACAATAGGCCAGAAGTTGCCGCAGTACAAGGGACTTAGTCCCACCCCACTAGCAATAAAAAAAAATATACCGATTAGCCCAGAAAAGATGCGGGAAGTTGAAGCCGAAGCAAATTTTCTGCGCCACGAAACAAACCAGGATTAGTGTAGCGTTAAGGGTGTCGGCTCGTATTTGAGAGGTGACAGGTTCGAATCCCAGCGGGAGCGGTGGTAACTCTGCTTTGCTGGAATTTATGTTCCTCCAGGCAAATGTCGAGACGGTATATCAGGTCATGACCGCTTCCTTCCCGATTCGTTCCAATGCAAAGGTTTACACTGTTACAGGCGTTTTCAAATGGGCCAAAGAGACGCCAACACATGCATCTGCTTTGTCTTGTGAGTACATCACGTCAAGACACGATGTCTGCGATATGACGCAAAGAAAGGAGCAAGTTGAAACGAATGAGATTATGAAAACCGCCGCACACTGGTCTGAGTCTTGATGCTTCTCTCGTCTCATCTCTAGATACTTGTCTTGACGCAGTTGGTGTGCGGTAGCCATAATCCATTCCACAGTTGGCATCATGTAACTCGTGGACATCGGAAACATTTTACTTTCTTGCCTGTGTTTCCTTTACTCATCCCTTGTTTGTCCGGGGTCGGGGGAGGCTTATAAACGTTTCCACACGTTTATCGAAAACGCGGCCGTCACTGGCTCCTCTCAGTTTTATGGGACGCGATGTATTCATGATATTCAGTACGTAAGTAAGTCAGTCAGTCAAGATGGACTTGTAAATATCCCTACACAGACACGAGACAGGAAATTTGACAGCTCAGGGAAATGTGGGGCGGAGAAGGGAACTTGGGAACAGTTTGCACAGTTCAAGCGTTTCGCTGGAGGAGAGAGACACAAGTTAAACGCCAGGACGCGGAGGCCTGAGGCACGAAGTGAGCCCCCCCCCCCAACCCATACGCTTGTAATGCCCCAAGATCTGTATAAAGTTATTACAAGTGAACACAAAATGGAGAGGTCATTCGCATAATTTCAAGCTGATGACTGTAACCAAACTGAGTAACTGTGGCCTGCACGAGAAATATACACAGGCAGAAAAATTTTCTGGCAAAAGTTGAAGCGATCTCCTAGCACAGACGAAAGGTAGGGAAAAGCTATCACTGTAACAGGACGTGAAGGCCCATAGGGTTGTGAGATGTTGAGGCACCCACATTTTCTAGATAATCAGCTCACAGATGGTGGTGAGGTTGTCAGCCTCACGCGCCGGGCGCCCTTTACCTCCAGGAAAATTCCTGGTACTCATTTCTGTTAGGGCCTGAGGCGACACCAGGGCCATTTTTGTTATTGCTAGTGGGGTGGGACTAAGTCCCTTGTACTGCTGCCACTTCTGGCCTATTGTCCCAGCCCCAAATGACAGGTGAGGGTGATTGTGGAGCAATTAGTGGAATGAAGATTGGCAGGGGAAACCGAAGTACTGGGAGAAAACCTGCCCCAGCGCCAATTTGTCCACCACAAATACCACTTCACCATACCCGGGATCGAACCAGGGCCGCCGCGGTGGGAAGCCAGCAATTAACAGTTCCAGCTATGGCGCGGCCCGACCCCAGGGCCATAGTGCCGCTGGAAGAATTAGGTCAATTCAAAAATCCTATGACATCAGGAATCTAACCCGCGACCTACCGGCTTGTAGCATAGTGCCTCAACCAACTACGCTACCGCGTGTCCCCCCACTTATAAATAAGCAGCAAAATACTACTCAAAAATTGGACGGGGGGACTTGACAATTCGCATCTCCAGTTAAGATTTCTGAACAGCCCCTCCATTCACTGACTGTGTGCACTGTGGATTTTAGGCATCACAGAGAAGCTGGATGGAAATAATAAACATAATCACGATCATAATAATAATAATATCTTTGTGGTACCTTCTTTCGGCAGAAGTAGACATTTTAATGCCGATTGCAACACTGCAGGTATTTGCTGGCATCTTGCGGTGCTATTATGTATTACTTTCGCACTTGGTTTCCACCGAAATGACGTAACGACATACGCGTACCTACGCAACAGAGGCCTGCTTAGACAACTTACGTACTGGTTGACAGCAACAGAGCTGTGTAAGTGGTTCCTAACTGGTACTGACGATGGTGCATAACACTCGGGATTACTGCGTTTTTGATCTTTGCCCATCGTCTGGTATTCTAAAGAGAGCTACGTTGCCGAAACTGGGTCTGTTTCCATTCTCTGGCGAAAGGGTGGGAGACACGAACTTTGTTGGGTCCGTTAGAAAGTGTTCATCCCAGTCACTGTACGAATGACTGAGACTGGCTCTTTCCAACGGAACACTTCTACCTGAGAGAGAGAGAGCAAAAAGTTACGGCAAACGATACAACTTGAGAAGCACCACAGTCTGAACCCTTCACCAAATAGGCCTGTTACTAACTTCATGGAGCCGAGATCTTCTCGAGAAGCCGCCAGTTGTGCAGCTATTCAAGAGCTTCCCAGTATTCAGTGGAAGCAGGTTTATTGCCGTTTACACAAGAGCCCTCCACTGGTCCCTATCCAGAGCCAGATCAATCCAGTGCATACCATCTCATCCTATCTCTCTAAGATCCAAATGAATACTATCCAACCACCTTCCCAGTGCCCTCTTTCCTTCTGGCTTTCCCACCAATATCCTATATGCATTCCTCTTCTCCCCATTCTGCTACATGCCCTGCCCACCCCATCCTCCTTGACTTGATCACTCTAATTATACTTGGAGAAGAGTACAAGTTATGAAGCTCCATACTGTGCAGTTTTCTCCAATCTCCCGCCACTTCATCTCTGTTCGGTCCAAATATTCTCCTCAACACCCTGTTCTAAAACACCCTCAGTCTATGTTCCTCCCTTAATGTCAGAGACCAGGTTTCATACCCATACAGAACCACAGGCTAAATTATAGTTTTGTAATTATAATTTCCATGTTTTTGGACAGTAGAAGAGAAGACAAGGTTCCGGACTGACTGGTTTTCAGTCCCTTCTCACTAACAATCTTGCCACTCGACACTGAGTAGTTTTAGTAACCGACAGCGTCGTTAAATAAATCATACATTTTTATACACAATGTGCAGAACCTGCAATAAATGCATATGTTCAATAAGTACTGGTTCGTGAATGCGTTATGCCCAGTGACGTAACTCATAAACAAGTTTTTCTTTTTGTTCACTTAGGTATCATTTTATTTCTTGTATTGGGATTTTACTCAGGTGTGTCTGGCAGAGTTAGGACTAATTTCGCTATTGTCCAGTAGGCTCACTGCTAGTGCATGAGTGTGGTTTTGTAATTTTCTTACGTATTTACTTCACTGAGCGCTGTGTTCATTTGTAGATCTTCACGGATCCTGTGAGTGTTTATGTACCATTCTGAATGCACTTTGGTATATAAATCATGGTGCTTGTGCAGGGCAACGCGGATGAGCAACTACGAGCTTCTCAAGAAATACTCTGATCCATGGAGTTGGTTGTCTCTGCAGAAGACCCGTGATTGCATCTGTGTAGTTACTTTGTGTGTGGCTTCATCTTCCACGAGAGCGCTACTTGTCCCCGCAATTTCCATACGTCCACTGCAGACAGCGCTCCCTGAATATCAATAGCCGCCATTGCTTTTATTCGAGATGAGATGGGAAGGGACAGAAAAATACATGATGAGATAGAAGATTCTGCCTTATCAGCAAACCTAATTTTTTTCTCTTATTTCTTCCCATGCGCTTGTACTCCCGTCTCTTTCGCATACTCCTGCATTTGACATTACATCGAACATATGGTTCATTGGGCCGCATGGAGATGGGGCGTCTTCAGAGAGGAACAGAGAGCTGCGTGTTTGTGTTTGTTCATGACCGGAATTTGCAATGATTTCTCCATTCGCAAATATTTCCCATGTGCTTCAATTCTCTTACATGGGAGCTGATATTTCGTAACAAAATTTCTTGTTAATATCCTTCCTCCTAGATAGACTGTTAATTGCCTTCAATCTATTACTGACTTTGCTGCCTTTCGGATGGAAATTATGGGTTAGGATCCTGATCACATGATCTTGTGTGTTGTTTCGGGGGTTCTGAATGCAGCGCCGTATAGATCAGACAATATCGGACGTTTCGTAGGAATATATAGCTTGAATCTTCAGGGGCGAACAGTAATACAACCAAGAGACCAGCTGTGTTTGCTGCCTTCTTACTTCGATTACTCTTGGGCCTTTAATTAGGTGGTATGATCCTCCGAAACGTCGGGCGTTCTCTGACTTACACGTCGTTACAATCCAGAAGACAGCACTCTCCATTCTCTTGTGTGACTTAACAGATTAACCACTAAAGCGCAATGCTGATTATGTCTAGCGCCTGCCTTCACATAAAGCTCAGCACTTTCCTCACAAAATGTACGTATTGTGTGTACTGTATGACTCTCAGAACACAAGGCGAGTATCTTCCTAAACAGCGCTAACCAGTGTTATTTGTAAACGAGTCGATGTGTTTTCGGGGGCGTAGTACCTGATTTGTAAATATTGTAACGTATTTGCTAGAAGCATTGCTAGGCAACTGCTCGATAAACATCCCGCGACACACACAAGCAACAAAGGGACAAGTCTAGGCAGCAGTCAGCGGGCCAATGGACGGGTGGGTAGCAATCACGTGACTTGTTTTCTATGTGGTCCGTGCGGAGACTATATAACGAGGATCTGTTGTGGCTTAGATTAGTTCAGTTCAGCAGTGGAGAATATAAGTACGAGAATGGAGCATGTCTTTAGTGAACTGTGAAGATTGTTTGAGTACAGATTAGGAGAGAAGAGTACAGAGTAACTGAAGACGAAATAGTAAGAAGACTTCATAGTCTCCTGAAGTGCTAGTTTCTGTGTTGAGATCCGTTGCCAGGAGACGACTAGTGGAGACTGAGAATCACAGTGCGTGTGCAACGGGGAATGAAAGCGCGCAGAATAGCGATAGGGCTATAATTGGGTGTGATTAAGGGAACTTGTAACGGAAGTGCCAATAAATCCAATCATCCGCCATATAACCCGCTATTTTCGTCACGCGTACCCCCCCCCCACATGTGACGGTACTATTCTCATAAATTTCGTGTCCGGTTTTTAAAATATTTCCTGTGTGTTACATGGTCAGTTAAACTTTACTGAAACGACTCTTCTAATTTCTTCCTGCTTCAGAGAGTTAACTTTAAAATACTATCTCATCAATATCACAAGTTACAGGGAACAAATTCGCAATAAATAGGAAAATTCTTTCAACTCAAATCTAGTAAACTCAAAACAATGTTTTACACGTGTAAGCGTGATTCACTCACTGTTTCGTTTTCAACTAGACCAGCCATGAAACTCTGTGTTTTTGAACACAGTGAGGCTGACCTCACCGCCATCTGTGAGCTGACTAGAAAATGTGGGAGCCTCAACGTCTGTTGCAGGGACACCTTTACGTTTTTTAAATGAAATTTCAGGTTCAGCAAATCGGCGAATCTATTTATCGGTTAAGAGACTATTAAGGGTCTCCAGAAAGATTTTGTTTGATGTAGTTATGTAGGCCCTATCACCTTACGCTTCCAGAAATGAGGTTTCCCCTAGACCACGGTTACCCCGCTAACGGTGACCTTAAAGCTGTCCCTATGCTTAACTGCCTGGACACTACGCAATGAAGACGGCAATAGTTGGAGGTGAGTGGTCAGCTATACACCCCGGCCGCTTTACCGCCGGTACAATTTGAGTAGGAGGCTGGCTGGGCTCTAGAACCGGTCTGAACGACGTGGAGAGGAGAAAAATCTTGCTCCTGCCGGAAATCAAACTCCGATCCCCAACCCCACCGCCTTGGTTGTCCAGCCCGTAGTCAGTCGAATCAGTGGCTATTTGCAGAATTTGTAATTTGTCTTTGTGTTAGTTTGTATCCAATAACCAAATGACGCAATCACTAACTGTTGTAGTTGGTTAAGTTGCGATAAAAGCAAACGCACTGCGTAACGGTGAATTGGGCGTCATTACAGCGCTCAATTGTCAGCTGAAGAAAAAGTGAGGTTAAGTGTTTCTGTTTAATAAGCAGATCTTACGGAAAATATTTTATATAAGAGCAGCAGCATATTGTTCAACGTCTTAGCTGTCCTTCTAGGAGCTTTGCAAATTACTGAAGTCAGGAATTGACAGTGTTTTAAACAATTTCTCCCTGAATCTTCAACATTTTGTATACTAATTAGACACAAAATTCCTGGCTATACAGTCGCCTTCCAGAAATGTCCGTCCATGAAAAGAAGACAGGGCCCCTTAACTATATCGAGGTTTCTTTTAAGCGCAGTCTATCTCTCAACTATTTCCAAAAAGTCGGGCAAGGGGAAATTTGTGAACTCGAAAAATAAACGGTGTTCATCTAGTGGAATTCTCGAGAGAAAATCACACAAATGGAACACATTTTCACTGTAGCTTACCAGTTCTATCTCTCCTTCATTTTTTGTGTCCTGCTTACGAAAACAAGAACAGATCAAGGAAGACGAATGGGAGAACAATTGAGGAGGGGTAAGTTTAAGGGGCGATCATTCAACAATTCCCAGAAGCCCTCAAACCAAAACTTTCTTGCCACGGTGCTCTCCGCGCATAAATGTTCTAGCAAACAAAACAAAGGGCTTCTATACGAATGAGATTATGAAAACCGCCGCACGCCGGTCTGAGTCATGACGTCAGCATCATGACTCAGACCGGTGTGTGGCGGTTTTCATCTCATTCGTTTCAACTGTGCTCCTATCTTTGTGTCATGTCGCAGACATCGTGTCTTGACTGTTACATGCCTTGACGCATGCCGGTGTGCGGCCTACCTTATGGTTACCTTTTGCTTCACTAATCCGGATTATTACCCAATCCTCGTGACCTCGACCAAATTACTCCGGATTAGCGGGGGTCACTATATTTTAATTCGAATGGCGACATATCAGCAACCGAAAATGAAACAGTGTTGCAACACTCACCAGATTGAGAGCTTCCCTTTCTGAGTCCATGGAGTCGCCATCTTGCGGCAGGTCTGCCGCAACGTCGCTACTAATACTGTGCTCGTCGTTGCTGACGTCACCGTTCAGCCCGGCATCTGAAACCAGAAATGCCATCAGCACCTTCAGCACAAGGTCTGGAGTAATCGTCTCGAGACACATCACGGATCCTAATAGAATCCTGTCCGCCATTTTGGAGATCTCAATTGCGTAACTTTTCCTAGCCTCCTCTCACTCTTCTACGTCCAGAGCGCCATGGTCTCCAGCAATCTCAAGCTACGAGAACAAGATACCTGGTACAAAAACGTAAATGTATAGTTGTCCCTGTGCTTAATTAAGCACATCGCTGTGACGACATGTGGGGAGTACAAACATAGCTCCATTACCCTTGACCTTGGTAATACATGGAGGTGAGTGGTCACCTTCACGCCCCGTGCCGCTATACCCCCAGATAAAGAGCCCCAGGTACCCACTAGATAGAATGCATGGTGGGTCCCGCAGTCTGGACACTTGAGTAGGGAAACGAAATTCTTGTCCTGGCGGGAATCGAGCTACGGCCTTCCCTTCCAGCCCTAGCCCTTCGCTATTCAGTTTCTTACGTTAACTACAATCGAAGTACTCTCACTTTGGATGAGATATGTGACACCATGTAGCCTGCACGGTATCCTGAGGATGGAGGCAGTAGGTTCCTCCGAAACGCTTGAAACTTCCTATCAACGAGATGGCGATACATACCAGAAGCAAATTATCTTCAATTCTAAATTACGTTCCAACTGGGCGGAAAACCCAAGTTTCACTCCCACACAGCATCACAAGAGTATTCCTGTAGTCACGTGATGGACTACAGACTGGGTTTGGAATGGTAATCGGTTTTATTGAACTCCTGAACAACTCGAGACTGCACTTTACAGATCGCTGTCTTACAAAGAGAAGTCCTCAGCCACGGTACTCATTGATCTTCTTGCAGGAAGTGCACGCGTATGTGTTCTGAAGGGCAAGAGACCATATACCTTAAGAGCCTAATGAAACCACTGTACTTGAAGTGTCGCAAATTGACGTTATAGCTAAGTGACTCCACGGAATATAGTTCTTGAAAAGCCAAGCAATCGCTTAGGTATCAGCGAAATTCCGAAAATTCTACAGAAAACCGAAGGCTCACTACAGTGCCAGGTACTGAACCAAGTCAGTGTTCCATCTAAGCCGGATATTCAAGGGAGCAAGCCACGGCGTCTTCTGAGCAGCAATTCAGTTAGCTTGGGCCACCCCTGGGGAGGGGAGACAGCGATTTAAAAAAAAGGTCCATAATAGACATTACATTTACAAGCTCTAAAAAAATAGTTTGATTTTTAATTCCACTTTTATTAATTCAAGTTAACTATATAATAACGCAACAAAGGTGCGCGGGAGTGGGCCAAATTAGTCCATTCTACGCTCCACCCTCTTAGTTCCCTACGCTCAAATGTTACATCCTGAATAATGTTTCCGGATAAATACAATCCTGATTTGGAGAAATCACTAATACTGCTGCGACATAAATTACATGCAGCTATGCAAAGCTCTGTCGGTGCCCACGCGACCGCCCTGATATTTTAGTCGCATCCGCTAGATCCACAATGCACTGCGCAGGCCTGTGCGCAGGAAACAAACAGGCCCTCTGAATGGACGGAAAACAGATTATTAACGTCATGACCGGGATCCACTCGCGCGAACTTACCGTAACTTTTAGTCGAGATTTCCGTGAGACTTCTGCTGATACGAACACGGACTGGTCCTAAAATGATTTTCTTCTGTTTATGTTACCTTCAAAATGGTGATTGGGAGGGCTGATTACATAAAGGCCAAGAAACTAATTCAGCATTATCAATTTCTGAAGTAGTTACTTGCAGGGGGAGAAGACGTTTCCGCGAGCCGGAGAGGGTGTAAAAAAAGTATAGGGGATAGGTAGTTTCAAAAGTTGGCAGGTAATCATGAATTTCATTGTGAGGCGAGGAGAAGCCAATAAAACAATGGGTAGCCACTTTTGTAAGTATTATGAAGTCGATCCTTGCCTACAGTTTTTGTAAATTATTGCAAGACACTGTGCTAAGGACGATGGGAACATATATACCATTGTGCAAGATGTTTTTTATACAAACCGAGATTCCTGGAGGCGCTCTATATTTTTTTATTGGTAGTGGGGTAGGAATAACTCCCTTGCACTGGGCCCACTTCTGGCCTATTGTACCAGCTCCAGATGATAGGTGAGGGTGATTGTGGAGCAATTGGTGGAATGAAGATTGGTAGGGGAAACCGAAGTACCCGGAGAAAACCTGTCCCAGCGCCACTTTGTCCACCACAAATCCCACTTGACCAGACCCGGGATCGAACCCGGGCCGCCGCGATGGGAAGCCAGTGGCTAACCGCTTGAGCTATGGCGCGGCCAGGCGGTCTATAAGTCACGTGGGAAGGTAAGAATAACAAATGCGAGTGCACAGAAATAGATGCCCGTACTTTTATTCCTTTTTATTACATGTCCAACTTACAGCGTGACGTACCTTATTCAACGTTATGCTACTGAAGGCGCCACGAGGCTAGACAAGAATTCCACAATCATTTTCACTCATTCTTTACAGAGCCATCGACGAGGGAGTATGGACTTTAACTCTGAAGCAAATACCTAATTACATGTCAAATTTGGAGTATGTTTGCCCCATGGCTTAACGAGGTCTGAGTGTTCATGTGTTGCTGTTGTTCACCATGAAATGTTTTGGTTTTGTGTTAAGTTTGGATTGCACTGGATCGAAATGAACCAAAATTAGATAGGCTGTGCAATTTTATAGGCAATATAAGATTTTGTCCTTCCACAACGTTGTAGTGTGGTATCAGTATATAGAAGAAAGATACTGCTGGTGTCTTCAGGGTAAAATGAAGATAGGCGCGGTATGTTCCTCTCAAACACTGATAATTAAGAACCCGATGACATAAAATGTAAGACTATAATACACATTTCTATTGACCTAATATATGCGTTACCAGATCACGCATTTTCTGTTCAGGTTCTCCAGTCTCCGTGTTCAGTTATTGGTCCATATGACTTAAAGTCTGTGTACCCTGACAAAAACTATTCCTGTCCGGGATTGCAGACTGGCTCCATCTAGCGGTTCCACCGGTCATTTTACGTGATGAAGGAGGCAAAAAACAGTTCTGGAGACTTGATGCAGAACGCTCAGTACAGCTGTAAGTATATTAACTGAGTTGGTTTAATTCCTCTGAAAGGAACTTCCGTGGCGATTTCTACCCTAATATCGTTGCTTTAGAAGAAGCGCAGCTGTAATGATGAGAAGTATGCAGCAAGGGAAAACGTGAGGGCTGAAGGTGACATAAAAAATGTTAGAGGGAAGAAATTGGAATATAAGTGCGAATAGAAAGAATGGACCAGTGTCAAGAGTGATGAATGACTTCAAGGGGGCAGTAAGGGTAGATGTAGGCACAGGCTTGTGCGGTCTCCAACTCCAGCAGCAGTTACGTCACGGTCGGCAATGCAGTTTCCTGCCTTTGGTGAAGGGAGAACAAAGAACTTCCTCCGGTTCTAGGCCTGCGTGTCAGAAACTGGTTCCAAAGGTAAACAGCAAGTTAATCTGCGAGATTTTGTGTTCTTCTAGAGACTACCATTAAGAATATTTTTAACATGGCACTCAACACAAAACATTCCGAATAAATAAACAAATGTTAATGTGAAGAAAGCATTCTGGGATTTGGCACCGTGTATATGTGGTGTTAACCGACGTTTCGGAGGAACGTATCGCCTCCATCTTCCGGGTAGAAGAAAAGAAAATATAAGAAATCTGCACGCGAAGAGACCATGAGACGGTCTCTTCACTTGCGGATTTCTTATATTTTTTTCTGTTCTATGATTCTGTTAGTATAAAACAAAATAAACTGCGTGGTTTTAGTCCGCAAGCAAACTATACCGACCGAGCGACCGCAGCTTGTCGGCGAAGTTAGTGCCAACTTCAGCGGATAGAGGGCGTCGCGTGGTCAGTGCAACGAATCCCAAGGCTGTTAATTTCGGTTTTCTAGACCGGAGCCGCTATTTCCTTGAAATAGCTCCTCAACTGTCCTCACGAGGCTGAGTGGACCCCGTTCCAGAAAATCTGGTAGCTCCGGGAATCGAAACCGGACCTCACGATCTGTAGCCAGAAACTCTACTACACCACAGAGGCGGGCGTTGTGTTAGTACACTACTCAGAAAATTACTGTGATTTGAAATGTGACGCTGTGTAGTCTGGTAGTTCTTCGCCCAAGTTTCGGGGGAACACATTGCTCCATTTTCACGGTAGAAGAGTTAAGTAACTGGTTCCTGAGGGAGGCGAATCAGGCGAGGCTCGAAGCTGTGGGTGGCCAAGAGAAACGGTGGCACCAAGAACTGATACAGGAGGACAGGAGAAACGTACGATGGAGAGGAGACGTGTGACAGAGGATGAATAGGGGAAGAAATGAAATGGGCACAAATGAGACAACTTCACAGGCAACTAACACAACAAAATAAAATGAACATAAGAGCTCAGGTTCTTCTCAGGAGAGAGAGAGAAGGGTGACCACGTGATCAAAACAAAATGAAAAGAAAAATAAATAAATTAAAAATATAAATATATTTCCATGAAATACTGGATGGGCGGCCAGTGAAAGCAAAGACATTTATAAAAAAGAATTATTAAGAACATGTTCAGAAACTATCTCCATAAGAACAGAGTCTGCAGTTACTAAGCTCCCTGAGCTGCATGTGTGGCAAATTTCCTAACCCCGAACAGCGCCTGAGTCAGCTTATGAAATGTGTTTCAACTGACGGTGCGACGACAGAGCCACGTCACTATCAGCTGCTTGCTCGTGTCGTGACTCACAACAAAACGAACACCGTGGAGCAGAGCACTTCTTGAGAATCTGATATAGCCCCTCAGCTATTCAAGAAATTCCCACCCATTTGCCGAACCCGAAGGTTCAATAAAAGGTAAGGTAAAGCTATCCACGAAACAGACCGTGGATGCCCATAGGGTTGTGAGACGTCGAGGCTCCTACTCACAGATGGCGGTGAGGCTGTCAGCCTTACGCGCCGGCCCCA